GTGCATCATTTGTTTTGGGGACTACCAGATTTTAGCAGAGGTTCAAGAAGGGCAGTCTGTGGATTATTTCGAGACTCGTTTACACTTGGCTGAAGTGCCCATCTTGCAAGAAAGATGCCTGCCATCGCTGCAACCTATACCAGAGAATGGCATTTCTTCTTCCTTGTTTCCTTCCCAAGGCAAGAGCCCCATAGAGATTGATGAAAATGAGTCATGCTAGCGGGGAGAAGGAGGCTGGATCAGATTTTGATCATCTGAAACCTGTGCAACTTCCGAAATCGAAGGCTGTCGTCTCAGTCCACTGTTCTTGATGGTTCTCACCGCTGCACATGTCTTCTTACTTGGTGCTTTCAGCACAGGCATACCAGAAGATACTTTGTTCAACAGAAACAGATTCCTGCCACTGTCTTCACCGGGGCATGCGTGCTCTCTGATCACCACTGTTTGCAACATAAACACGTGGAAGACAGAGGGCCACTCAAATCCATTGCAGCAGATTCAGTTCAAGAACCGTGACCAAAGGCCTTGAAGGTTTATTTAACAGGCATTAATACAGCGCATGCAGAACAGTGTTTTAGCCCCAGCACTGGTTAGCTAAGTAAGGACGTCATGTCTCGCTGCATTTTTTATACCTTGTGCTTTGCTTTTGACATGAAATTCCAAACAGTATTTTCAAGCCTAGGTTGTAACTTCCCAGATTTTGCAGCTTAGAAACACTTTGTCAGCATAGTCCTTTAAAGTTGATGTTTTTATTAACTTTGCAGCAAGATTTTTCTTCTCTTTTTAAAATTAATTTTTGTGGGTTTTTTTTTTCCCCAAGTTAACTACTTTTGCTTGTGAATATAAATAAACATGCAGCGTCAGTGATCATGGTATGTAAAAATCCAGATAAATTTTGTAATAAAAGCATTTAGTTACCTAGTAAGGGTTTGCTGTCTTCTACAACTACAGTCTAAAAGCAGTTATGGTGAATAAAATTATTTCCAGGACAATCCAGGTGAGAGTTTTTTTCACTATCACTATTCTGGGCTTTCTAAAAGTGGCATTGCTCCAAGATAAAGAGTTGACTAAAATCCTTTCAGCAAGCTTTCTACCTCTACCCCCCACCCCAAGCTCTCGTACAATTTTGTTTTCATTTAAGTATTTCTCAGGTTATTTCAGTTTAGTTTTTCTTTGTTAGGGGCTCAGCTTTTCATTGGCACTCGTTTTTTGTCAAGTATTTTAGTTTGCTTGAAAGACACACTGGAAAGAACCAGAACAGAGCATACATAAGAGTTACCCATCTTATCATCCCTAAACATTAGCATGCATTTCAGCATTAATCATTGCAAGAAAACTAGAATTATAACTGAGAGGAGGCAGCTGAATTACACGACATAACCTGAGATTAAGGCAAACAACCACAAGTGAAAGAAAGTCACAGGAGAAGCAATGAAGCTCAAACACAGGCCTAGGTAGGATTTCACTTGCCTATTCATCTCATCCTTGCCAAAAATACCTTGTTCCCATGTTTTCTACTCTTTGAACTAGGCTCTGGTACTTACTTAACTTTTACAGTCTTTGGCCTAGATGCGTAATTCAGCTGCCGTCTTGGCACAAACGCCTCTGTCACACACCCAGCCCCTCACCTCAGCAAAACAAATCTGAGCAGGTATCGCCGTGTCACCAGACACGGTGCTACTGGTTGCACATCTCCAGTAGTTGTTGGCTGCTCGGCTTTTACATGCTTTTGACCCCGAGTCTTCCTACTCTTTTCTTAGACAGAGTGGCCAATACCCGCAAACACAAGCTGTCTTGAAAAAGAGAGTAAGATGCAAATATAATCTGAAACAAGCTCTTACATATAAAAGCTTTTACATGAAATCAGCCTCTCATACAAAATGCATGGGATTTCTTACGTTCTCTCATTTGGCTCGTGTGTGAGGGAGGAGGGAGCATTAGTTGTGCATTCCCAGGAAACAGCTCTCTTCCTATTAGTGCTCTTAAATTATTATGGATGACATGCAAGTTGTTGTTTTGCACTGCTTTGGGCTTAAAAAAACAGATTGCTAACCAAGCAGTATTGTTATCCAATTTCTATTCACTGGCCCTATCAACGTAAGACATTAACCTATGGCACTGATCATATTAATTGCTTACACTTTCGGGGCTATTATCTAAAGAAAAAGTGACAGCCCCAAACTCAAGTTTTCAAGTGCAATATATGAACAGAAGCATCTACAAACAGTACTTATCTGAGAAAATCTTCCATCTGGTCTGCAGAGTTCAGCGCGCTGCGTCTCAGTAGATTTTGTATTCGCTCTGTACAGAGGGGCTCTATGGATATCCACAGACCTAGAGCAGAGCATTCCTTAGGCACATCTCCAGGAACCAGGAGAAAACCTTGGGAATGAAAAAAAAACAAACCAAAACAAACCACCAGCAATTTAATGGTTTCCAAACACTAATCATTTCTACAACTGTATTTACCCGGGGCAAGAATCAACCCCAAAATACACATTAAAAAATGAAACCTCTCCTAGGAGGATCCTGTCACTGCGCTGATTTGACCAGCAGAAGTTAGTGTGACTGAAGAAGAGTTGTTTCAGTATAGACATACCAGAACATACTTTGTTCACCAGAAACAGATTCCGCTTCCACCTCCCCCCACCCCGAGGCTGCCATTAGTCATACACTGCTAACTCAATTGTGAGAAATACTACACACACAAAGGCAGCTAACATTATTTCCAAGTTTTTGCTTGGCTCAGCTGTCCTAGTATTCACCATCACGGAATACTAAAAGACAATGCTGAAACACCAATTTTATGCTTAACCAAGTAACTCCGAACAGTCTGCCCAAATAGTCACGTCAAATGATTTTATATTCGACAACGGCTCAACTTTAGCCTAGAAACGTTATGTATAACCAGTAGATGAACAACTTAGTAAAACACTTCCCCAAGATTAATAGTTTCCTATTAAAAACGCTGTCTTTCCTATATACAGGCATGATCGGCTAAGTGATTTCACATGGTGCGCTAGCTCAGACAGACATGAAGACAGGGAAGCTGCTTGCATTACACAAGGAAGGTTCTCTTACCTTTGAAGTACGAGGGTACAGCTGCTCGTTTCTGGTAGAAGAAGGGCTCCACGCTCCAAGTTCCTCAAGTCCTCCGTTATCGCAGCTTGTTAGAGCTTCCCTTCCAAAGCAACAGGTCTCAAGAAGGGATGCTATGGAATTCACTAGTTAAAAGACACAGCTCGTTATTTATTAAAACCTTCCTTAGTTAGCCGACGCATAGGTAGCTTCAGGTAACGTTTTAAGAATTCATCTTCACACACTGCTTTCGCTATGTATGACATGGCAGCCACAAAACCAACAGATAAGACATTGCCAAACGTAAGACCGACTGAAAGTTTTAATGACTTCCAAATTTGTACAGGTATGCATTTTACAGTACTGTTGAATCGTTTCACATGAGCTGTTTATATCATCTTTCAATTTCTTAATTTTCCACAAACATCGACCATCGTTTCTTAAGTCACTCCGTGTGGTGCACTGAACTCTGGAAAGCGGAATGCTATTAACCATGGCTACAGGACGTGCCCGTCGCAGTAAAAGCCTTCCGCTGGAGTCAGCTTCCTTTTTCCTAAGTGCTTGTTCATTCTACAAGCAAGACTATCAGCTAGTTTACTTCCTCAAAGCATGGTCAGGACGAGTTAACCTCATGTTCACTGGTGAGGAAAAGTAGTGACCACTACAGGGTAAGTAACAGTTTCAGCAGGTAAAAAACGTGTTATTTACATGTTGAGAAAGTTGCCTTTGTTTCCGTAGGAATACAGTATACAAATAAATGTTCAGAAGTTAGACAGTAGTAGCTTATGCCAAACCAAAAATATACATTTGATGTGTACAAATTCTTAAAGCTTATTACAGGCATTGCAAATAGATAATTACATTAAAATATTTTCAGTGACATAGCTACAATTTAAATTAAGAAATGGAATGTTATCAACAAGATTTATCTGTTCATTAGCGTTGATATTTGTACATATTTAATCCAAGTGTGCAGTGTTTTTTTTTCAAGTTATCATGAAGAGGACCACGCTGTAGTGACCCTAGTATTACATATAGGCTCATATGATCTAAAACAGTGACACAACTTTCACCGACAAATTCAGTTCTTACGATGCAGGTTTACTACTTAACACAGCATGTTGCTTTTACTCCACAAAGGTGAAGTTACACCCCGTCCCCCTTTTTTTCAGGGGAAAAAACAAGACAGCTGCACAAAATAACAGTACAGTAGAATGGCTTTACTGAAACTTTGGGGAAAGCTTGAGATCTACAAGTGTTTTGCACGTTCTCTTCAGTGAGCTTCTTCTTTTCTTAATAACTTACATTAAATATCGGGGGAGACCACACAATACGCTACACCAGATTCGCAGTAACTGAACACCTCCTTGAATTTCAGTCCGTATTAGCAGTATTAACCATCCAGTTTACAGGCACAGGAAAGCTAGAGCACTTAAACACACTGTTTTGTAACTTGGAACTTTTTTTTTTTTCCTTTTTAAAATGCAGCTAGAAGAATTCAGCCTTTAGGTTCTTGTTCTTCACACCCCAGCAGCAGAGCAATCACCCCTCCCCCAGTTTGCTCAGAGAATGTTCCTTTTCAATAATTGTTCCAGTCGAGCTGAATTACAAGTTTTCCACAACTGAAGAATTTCCCTGTGAGGGTGGTGAGGCACTGGCACAGGTCGCCCAGAGAAGTTGTGGATGCCCCACCTCTGGAAGTGTTCAAGGCCAGGTTGGACGGGGCTCTGAGCAAC